ACCCCGACGCTTGTATATGACTTCCAACGTAAACAGCGAGTAGGGCCACGGCAGCCCGGTGATGGGCAAGGCCTCGGGTAATTAGTAGGTAGCATGAGTGGCCTTTTTGCAGCCCTGCCGCCGCCCTGTGAGAAGTTGGTATGTGAACGCGTGTCCCGCTAGACGATGACCAGGTCGTCCAAAAAGCAACCGTCTACCTGGAAGCCGGAACAGCTTGTGAAAGCCGCCGCGGTTAACGGAATCCATGGATCTGGCAGCTGGTAAAAGCGGTGTCCAGGATGGTTGGACCCGCTGCCACACCCGCCCTATGCCACTCGAGGGCCTAGGATTAGCACGTCTTGGTTGTCTGCCGGCTCCATTATCGAATTTTCGTACGTACAGGGGGGGGTCCGGGGCCAGCAATAATACCAGAAGACATATCCATGTCACCTGAAGTGTGCCTCGTCTGCACCACGAACCAAAGACCGCCGAAACAGGCCTTCTTTGGTTGTAGGTAGTGTGTGTGCTAACCCAGGATCGACAGCAACATCGTGGGGTGTAGAACAAATGCCAGTCCAATCTGAAGTCTGACCGGCCCATGTCTCCACCTCCAGCGCAGCGGGCAGTCCATTTTATGTCTATTAGACACGGCTGCCGCCTTCGTGAAGGCCCCTGTGCTTCCGATATGGTTGTCAAAGATCCTTCAGGGTTCTCGAGTAGGATGTGCTTGAAGTCTGGTCCTTGTCTTCCGTCCCGTCTCTGAACTTAAACCAACATTTGGTTGGACCACAACACGCTCTGGTCACGATCTCGACTTCATCCCGAGAGATCGTTTTGAAGATTCCACGTCGAGACGGAGACCCTTCTGCAGCTTCACAGAGCGAAGACATAGGGCCGTCGACCCCATCTTCCGTCTGCCATCATGGCCAAGTACGGATGCACCTCTTCGCCTTTGGCGAAAGCGCCCGCTAAACTCTTCCCAGCGATCCGCAAACGGTCCCGTTGGACAACACTTTTCTCGAGACTATCACGTACTTGGGAAGAGAGTTCCAAAGATATGCTGTCGACAACGGTGCCTACTTCGCGCCGATAGACGAGGTAAACATGGCCCATGGAGCCCCTGAAATCCCTGATCGCGTTGCTTAGTCTCTTCTCCCGACCTGTAGGACGAAATCGAGCGTTTGCAAATGATGCACTATCTCTTCTCGATAGTTTTTGAAAACTCGCTCATCTTTCCACCCATAACGAGACCCCGCCGAATACTCGAATGCGGGTTCGGTATCGGCGACTGGGCAATCGAAGTTGCACAGCAACACCCGAGCTGCGAGGTACGTAATGCACGCGCGTGCAAAGGCCTTTGCCACACATTCACTTGACTCTGGTAGACGTCTGGCGATGCGCAAGATGGCTCGGGGCGGGTGGACGGAGAGCTTCAGCGTCTTCGTTGGGCTTTACGATCATGCCCCTAAGCGGAGACTCCTTTTCCGCGTTGGTGCCAAACCGTCTGCTCCCGCCTTTGGAGTCTTCACCGCCATCTGCATCCCAGAGCTCGTTCGCCATTGAGATCGAAATCGTGCGATTCTGGGGTCTGATTCTTTGCTCCGAAAACGACGGTTGACCAGCGCAATAGGTGGTGGGCATCGACATTTGCCCGCACATTTGGCCCGACGAAGCGCAAACGCCGCCAAATCTGAACCTTCAAGTCGATGATCTGAATGGAAGGTAGGCAACCCAGACACTCGCCGGTTGTTTCTCCAGTCGGATCATCGCTAACCATCTAGCCAGGTTCACCTTCCCATCCAATCACTTCGACCTGGTCCACAGCCAGATGATGGCCGGGGGGATTCATTCGAATCGATGGAGGGATTATCTGCGTGACATTCATCGCGTGCTTCGGCCTGGCGGCTGGGTCCAAACGGTGGAAATATACTTCAACGCGCAATCGGACAATGGTACACTGACACAGAGTGCGTTTCTCCCCTTCCCCTTTTGGGCGCAGCTGCTGACTTTTGACATGGCCAGATCACGCACTTCGAAGGTGGTCGAGACGATATCTGGACAGCATGCAACCGTACAAAGACCCTCGAGCTCCCTTGCAGATGCAGAGCTGGATGCAAAGTGCAGGCTTCGACTCGGTGGAGACGCAAATGATCCCGCTCCCGACCTGCGGATGGTCCAACGGTACGGAATCGCCGAACACTGGGTTGTAGATTGTCGGTGCTGACCAGAGACGCAAGATCCACGGCAACATCAGATCGGCTTGGCGAACAGAGAGAACGTGAGGAGATTTCTATCGTCATTAGGACACTATCCAATGACGGAGTTCCGGGGGTGAGTACCGAGCAGCTGCCACAGTCAAGCGTTCGGGCAAAGCAGCTGACCGCTTTGCTATATAGCATGACGTCCCAAGAGTTCCAAGTTCTGGTCGCACAGGCCAGAAGCGAGGCTGACAATCCGGAGTTCAGGGTTAGTTTTCCATGATTTGCAGACTGTCCAGGATTGGAGCTGTGACTAACATGAAGGACAATGACACGCTGCTCGTAACAGGCGTATTTTCCAATGTAAGTATGGCCTGGAGACTCTCTTGCTGCAAGACTTCCAGAGCTGACAGGCGCGTTGCAGGTATGTTTGTATAGGGCGCAAGCGTCGTTGAGGCGAGTCATTTTTTGGCGAATCGGTTTATTACAGATCCGGGGGAGCCTTGAGAGGGATTGATTTCGGTAGTTTCGGTGGGCATCCTTTTCTGGGCTTCTGATGATGACGATGTCACGGCAGCGAAAACCCCGTGCCTAGCTCGCAAGTCTCTTGAGTTTCTTATGGCTTATTCGCACCTGATGGCTGCAACGTGAACAAAAGCTGGCTCACTCGTGAAAGAACCAGAAGAAAACTTGATGGCGAAGGCTTCGGCTCTTGCCCAGACTCCATACATCCCCGGTGTTAGTCAAGGTGGAGCTGATGTGTTGTCGGCGACGTGGCAGGTGCGAAGCTGATGACGGCCTGGATCTGGGTTGCGCTCTCGCTCTCGACCTTTGTGACTGTTGGAAACATGAGAAAGGCGACGTTGGGACTATCGAGGGAATTTTCGCCTCCGGCTCTTGCTGTTGTCGAGGCCGGCTAAAGAGAAGGCGTACCTAGGTAAGGTTATTTTGGTATCGTCTGGTGTGTTGGCCGATGTGTAAGACAGGTTTCGACTGATGCCTCTGCGGGCAAGGGCGAGTTTTACGGCACATGACGCAAAGAAGGGAGAGAAGGCATGAAGTCGAAATACGGGAGACCGGTGCGGTGCGGTGCGAGACCTGAAGTGGAGAGCAACGGAAGCTAAGGGAAGCGGTGGAGGGAGGACAGGAGAAAAGCGAAGGCGGTTCCCCGGTCTGGGTACCCGACTGGACAGACTTGGGCTCATTTTGTCCACCTCACCTCAGTTGGGTTTAGATTGGAAGGGGGCAGAACGGCGGCGTGTCTGCTTTCGCCCAGACGAGGAGCCGTCCTGCGGTTGGTTTTTGCCTAGTTCAGGGGAGGATGGATAATGGATAACGAACACGCAGATTTAACTCGCTACCAGACCGTCGGGTCGTCTCTCGGTGAGGGAGGCCTGGAGCACTTCACGTCACATTGAGCGAATATTCAGACACGTCCACGAATACTATGTACAGCATACACACGTACACACGCACACACACGCACGCACACGCACATTCTTCGGCCATCATCTGACTGAGAGGGCAGGCACGTCATCCGTGTGCCATGTCGTTGTCTGGCCCCCGCGGCCGAGCAGTCGAGTCGTGTTCCATCTGAGGGTACGCAGCAATTCACCGGAATCCACTTTCATCTGAAGAGCAATAACCAGGGCATGCCATGTCTTGCTGCAGCACCCGCGCCGCCGCCGTCGTCCTCGCCAATTCCACGCCAATATCCTGCCGGTTCCCACGCCGGTGAGCTCGAGCGGCTCAGGTTCCCCAGCTTCGGGAGCTCCATCCTGGCCATCCTGGCAGGACCATGGCACAGACGTTTTGAAGAAGGTCCGCTTGTTGTCGTACCCATCCGAGTCGACGACGACGAACAGACGGCATTGGCGGCGGCTCTGGTGCTTCGGGACTGACAATAGAATCGACTAGGTAAGGGACCAATCAGCCACAATGGCGACGAGCTTGCAACTCTGAGAGTTTCTTTGCCCGTCGCCCCGAACACCGATGCTGCTGAGACTACACACCAGGCAGATTGGCCCCATCGCAACCGAATCTATATTACGACCGTATGCCACCCCGGAACCTTGGGCCTGATGCCCCCGGTGGAGGTGATATCCGGAGGCGTTTGCGAGTGCCCCGACCCTTGCTGGTGCAGCGGATTCCCTGACAGCCTGCACATCAGGCGACGCTGGGAAGCTCTGGAAATTGCACAAACGTCGCATCTGGATCGCAGCATTTCGGTCAGGTTCTCAAGGACGCGTCGTTGAACACTTTGTGTCATCCGAACCTTATGCATGTTCTCTGCATGTCTCAACATGCCCATGCTCCGGCCAACGAACGGGCAGGAGGAAACTGTCAAAGTCGCAGATGTCAGTCAATGCGAGTGTTAATCAGTGGATCCACACAGTTCCCCAAATACGACGAACCAACGAACGGACGACCCTGGCAGACACTTGATAGGCAATAGTGTACATAGTAGGGACTGGGCACCGAGCACCAACTCAGTTGGAAGACTTCGGCAGACAGACGTGCCCTTGGGAGAGCTCCACCGTCCATCCACCCCTGGCTGGCGCCGAAGCCGCAATGCGCCACCAACGCCGCCGACCTCTTTGCACATCTGGAACAGGCCATGAGCTTCGGCCAATGGGAAAGCTTGCCCAAATTTATGCATCTCACAGCTCTCGAATTTTTTTGGTGTCGGCCCATCGACAGCTTCAGACAACGAATTAGTTATACTCAACACTCGAGCAATTGACGAGGTCGACGACACTAGAAACGACCAATTGGACAATCTTCTGATTCACTTACTCCATCTTCCGACCAACGCACATCACAATGGCCGCCAGACAATCAACACGTCTCCTCCAGACTCTCCGGCCGACGGTAGTGCCCGGCCGCGCCTTGCCCCGGACGCTCCGCTTCTACTCAGACGCCGCCCCGGCCGCGCCTCCGCTCCTGGCCAATCTCAAGGCCGATCTGAAGACGGCCATGCGCGCCAAGGATGCCGCTCGCCTCTCTGTCCTGCGCTCCGTCCTGTCCGCCACCAACAACGCTGCCAAGACGTCGTCTCCCATCGTCACCGACGCCCAGCTCGTCGCTCTCCTGCGCAAGACCCAGCGCGCCGGCCAGGACGCCGCCGCCCAGTTCCGTGCCGCCGGCCGCGACGATCTGGCCGACAAGGAGGATCTTCAGGCCAAGGTCATGGCCGAGTACATTGCCAACTCGGGCGTCCTCACCGTCACCGAGGCCGACGTCCGCGTGCATGTCGAGAAGGCCATTGAGCAGGCCACTGCTGCTGGAAAGGTCTCTTTGGGCGAGGTCATGAAGCTGGTCAACGCCGCGGTACAGGGCAAGGACGTCGAGATTGACAAGAAGCGCATCTCCGAGATAATTAAGGAGGCTCTGGAGAAATAGAGGCCGGACGGCAACATGTACTACCACCACGTGTATAATTTCAGCATACCCGAGGCTCTCCCTCTCCCAAGCATTAAGAGAAATGAAATCCTGTCATGACAACTCCTCACACGATGCATTGAATGCAAACTCAACGACAAGAGATGAAGCTTGAACATGACGCTGCGCGCATCAGCAAATCAATGGTATCTGTCTAGGTAGGGCATGTGGACGAAACCCGCCCCTGCCGCTTTCTTTCCCTCCTCCCCCCCTCGACTGCTTTTGATGCCGTCCTGGAACGATGACTCCGTCTGCTCCAACCCCAGAACGCCGTCTCGTGTGATTTCCTCGAATGGAAGGGTATGTAACGTCAACGCACAATCATGCCATGCTGTCCTCCTCGTTCCTCAACCCCGCATACTCGGTCCCCTGGTTGGCCGTGCTAAGCCGCGCGCATAGACTGAGCAGCACAACCGTCTCCGTGGCGGCGTAGTGATTCAGCGCGTCCAGGAGGATCTGCAGGTGCCTGCTAAAGTTGCCCTCCCACTTCTTCATGATCTCAAACAGGTTGCCCACGCGGGCCTCGTGCTGCTCGCCAGCACCCGCCGACGATGTCGACTCGCTGTGCGAGCCCGAGGGCTTCTGCGTGCGGACCTCTTGAAAGGCGCGCCACTGTTTCTGCGTCATGTTGGGCGGCTTGGCGGCGCCGGATAAGTCTGGATCGGCCTTTTCCAGCTCACGCGAGAGCCAGTTGGAGTATGTCGCAAAGATTGTGCAGGTCTGCATCAGCTTTGAGTGGATCTGCAGGTTGTTAGTCGTGTGGCACGCAGAGATGAGCGAAGCGCCCTGTGACTTACCCTCAGTAGCTTGCTGTTGGTGAGCATGCACTCCTTCAAGCACGTGTCCAAGAAATCCACATGGTCCTGCATCAGCTCGTCCACCGTCCTCGTCGGTCCCTCGGTGGTACTAGAACCGTCCTGGCCGTCCTCCTTGACCTTGAGCCTGGACATGAACTTGGCCCAGTTGGGCTCAATGACCTCGGCCGTGCAAAAGTACAAGAGCTGCTGCACAAACACCAACATGCGCGCGCGAAGCGTCCATACCCGGCGCTTCCAAATCTCGAGGCTGCGCGAGGAGCTCTTGTGAGACCACGTCATGCCTGTCGTCTGCGAGTGCCATGTTGTCGACAGCTGGGACTCGAGGTATCTGAGCGAGAGCAGGTAGCGGAACAGCGCCTGGTAACGCCACACGGTCTTGCGGCTGATGACCAAAGAGACGGGGAAGGGCACTGTGTAGTCGAGCTGCAGCGACGTGAAGCCAATCGCGTTCTTGTCGTTCTCAACCGGCTGGTTCGCCAGAGGTTGCAGCGACTCGCCCTGCTCGATACCGGTGATGTTGACGACCCTCTGAAGGGACTTTGTGAGGGTGATTTCGTTCATCTCCACCTTGACGTCTTCCTTGAACGGGTCCAGAGACACGATGCTGCCAGGCTGGCGCAGGACCAGGTCGAGCAGAGACTGCAGCTTGCCGGTGTTAACGGACTTGACGGGCTTCCGCAGTTCCGAGGCGCCGAGCTCGAGGAAATAGGAAAAGTAGTCGGACGGGTCCAAGAAGAAGTAGTGCTTGAGCGACCGCAGCCGCGCGGGCAGGGAGTGTGTGGTGAGCAACAGCTGCATGAGGGACTCGTTGGCGTGGGCGTATGCGTTGTTGACGTTTTCCAGGAAACGGCTGTCGTCAAATGAGTTGGGCACGTCCGAGACGACCTTGCTGACGTCCACACCACCGCACTCTCTGACCACGTTGAGGTACTTCCCTGCCAACAGGACCTTGTCCTTGACACCTTCCAGTTGAGGCGGGATATCGTGCTCTCTGATGGTGTACCGTCTCTCCCAGTATTCGTCCGTGTAGTCCTGTTCTAGGCGCTCTCTGCGGATGCTTTTCTGCTCCTTGATGAGGAACTCGGCGTGCGGGTCGTTGATGCCGCCGTGATGAAGCCACTCGTTCAGCATGACCATGTACGGTTTGCTGGAGTCTCGGAGCAGCGTTGTCAGTAGTGCGCGCGCCGCCGGGTCTCCTGACAGGGACTCCAGCCTCTTGGTGAGCAAGCCGAGCACGACGCCGCCTTTGGAGATCTTCTTCCCCGATCCCGGCACCAGATCGCCGCCTTCACGAAGGGACTCTAGAATGTTCTCAAAGTCGTCCGCGCTGTCGCTCTCTTCCTCCTCGTCATCGTCGTCTAGGAGTGCGTTTCGCTTCAGCAGTTCGTGTGCCAAAGAGTACAGGTGTGACATCATCTGGTTGGTAGGCAGGGTGTGAATGTTTAGTACGTGGAGCGTAAAGGTCTCGTTTGTCAGAAATTGCGTCTCAAGTTGCGCAATCATGACAAGATAGTCGTGAAGGAACTTCCTCACGGAGGCACATAACGCGTGGTTGACGGCGCCAAACTCCTCTCTGCTCTGCACGTCGACGAACATCTCGAGAGCAGAGTAGTACGTCGCCATCTTCAGCATTGACGCCGTCAGATCCTGCAGGCTCGGGTCCAGGCCAGGCAATATTCTAAATGTTGGCCCTGAAAGACGATCCCTCTCCTCGTGCGGGTTGTACGTCTTGGCGAAGCGGACATACTGGCCCTCGTAGCCCATGAACACGAACAGCAGATCCTCAATCATGACCGCCTCCTGTGCCTCGAGTGACAGCTCGCTAAGTGGCTTCGGTTGCTGGGGCTGGGGCGCTTGGGACGCCAATGGCGGTATGGATATTCGACACGCCAAGGGGGCAGATGTATGGGGGAGAAGCGTCGCCTCTGGGTTCCACGGTGCTGCACGCGCAAGTCAGTGAGCATTCCCTCGATCACGACGGCAAACTGCAATCTCACCGGACGGGGTTTCGACCTTGGCCTCCTTAGGCTTCGTCTCGGCTGATCGCGACTTGTCCTCCTTCGGCTTGCCCTTGTCGCCTCTGCGGTCCCCCCTCTCAGGGCTCCGCGTCCGCTGCACAAGCGTCTCCAGCTGGGTCACATACGTCCTCTCTGTTCTCCTCTCCTCTACGTGGCGGTCGTCCTGCGTCCTGCTCGTGGTGCGAGGGTTTCCCGACGCAGACCTCTTGTGCGCATTGCTTCCCGACTCGCGATCCCGTTCTCGTTCCCTCTCGCGCTCCCGTTCCCTCTGCTGCTGCCGCGCATCGCTCCGCTCGCTGCGTTCGCTCCTGAAGCTTGCGTGGGCGCTGCCGCTGCCGCTGCCTCCCCCGTTCGCCGCAGTGTTCATGCGTGACGCCCTCGAAAGTCGTTCGTGGTCCGCAGCTGCAGAGGCTGTGCCGTTCGCGCGGCGCGTGCCAGACGACATGTCGCCGACTGCATTGGTGGGGGTATAGTGCGTCTTTGGGGCGTTGTTTTCTTGATGTGATAGTCCTCTCGATTGGGCGTTCGTCTCGTCTGCGGCCGTGTCTTGGAGGGTGTGCACCTTTATTCCTTGCCAGTCCCTCTTTGTTCGTCAAGTCGTACCCCTCTATTTGCAGAGTCGCACTCTCCAGGTCTAAGCGGCGGGCAGGTTGGGCTGGGTTACACAGTAAAGTGCCTATTAGCCCAGGCGCGTCTGCTCGGAAAATCTTCGCGTGTTGTTGACCCCGGCCCCGGGGCTCGCCTGGCCCCTGAAATATTCCGAGGACGGGACAGCGGGCAGCTGTTGGAGGGGATCTTGTCGCCCCAGCCAATCAGAAGCTTTGGGCAGACGAACAGGGGCCAGGAGCAAGCTGCGCTAAGGTCCGGGCCAGGTACGTAGTCCTGCTGATGGTGGTGGTGGTGCTACTGCTTCCGCTGTTGGAGCCCCCCCAAGCTTGCGGCTGCGTAGGCTGGTGCTTGCCTAACGACCTGACTGTGCTTCAGCCTTCCACCGTCACCGTTTGGTTACCTCGCCTGCACCACGAGCTCCCCTCCATCCACCACCACCATCACCACCCCAGCATCCCGCAACCGCATCACCCACGCCCGCAACGCTCAGGAATTGAACACATCGATCAATTCCTCTGGAAGAGATTCACCACCTTCTCTCTTTAGCAATTTGACACACAGAACACCGCCAAGATGTTTATGGCAAGATCTGAATACGGTAAGCCTACTGCCCTCCTTCCCTGTCTTCGAGAAGAGCTCCTCTGACAACCCGTCAACAACAGATCGAGGTATCAACACCTTCTCCCCCGAAGGTCGCCTCTTCCAAGTCGAGTACTCCCTCGAGGCCATCAAGCTCGGCTCCACGGCCATCGGTGTTGCCACCTCCGAGGGTGTCGTCCTCGGTGTCGAGAAGCGCGTAACCTCGACCCTCCTGGAGACCTCCTCCGTCGAGAAGATTGTCGAGATCGACCGCCACATCGGATGCGCTATGAGCGGTCTGCAGGCCGATGCCCGTTCCATGGTAGAGCACGCCCGCGTCGAGTCCCAGTCCCACGCCTTCAACTACAACGAGCCCCTCCGCGTCGAGTCGTGCACCCAGGCCATTTGCGACCTGGCCCTCCGCTTCGGTGAGGGTGCCGAGGGCGAGGAGACCATCATGTCCCGCCCCTTTGGTGTCGCCCTCCTGATTGCCGGCTACGACGAGGACGGCCCCCAGCTCTTCCACGCCGAGCCCAGCGGCACCTTTTACCGTTACGACGCCAAGGCCATCGGTTCCGGCTCCGAGGGCGCTCAGGCTGAGCTGCAGAACGAGTACCACAAGGTGAGACCCCCTCCGCGGCGATGTGTTTGAACCATGTCTAACATGCTCTCCAGTCTCTGACGATTACCGACGCCGAGACACTGGTGCTCAAGACACTGAAGCAGGTTATGGAGGAGAAGTTGGATTCGAAAAACGTGCAGTTGGCGAGCGTAACGAAGGAGAAGGGCTTCAGAATATACACGGATGAGGAGATGGCTGCGGTCGTGGAGCGACTTCCTGCCAACTAGACGAGAGCATGGGCTAGGGTGAGCTTAATAGAGAATCATGAGGCTGGGCGGGTAAAAAAAGACGTTTTCTGGAAGGGAGAGAAACCCAAAAGATACTTACCCAGGCACACCGGTCACGAATCAGGAACCTGACGTCTAGACGATTTCATAGCGTACTCAAACGTGATGAGGATCTCAGGAGGTGACGTTGAATGGACCCGTCGTATTGATCTAAAACTAAACCTACTCGAAAAGGTTGGAAGCCCTGATCTACACATCGTACACGACCCATCCATCGCCCAGAAGGGCTTTCTCTCATCCCTCCTTGATGTCGAGTCTCTCCAGCTCCTGCTCGACGCTGAGTAGCCCCAGGGCGTAATGCGCCCGCTCCGTCTTGGCGACGACGAGCACCTTGTCGTCTCCGTCCAGCAGCTCCAGCCGGGCGCCAATCCTCCTCGGGTTCAACCACACTGAGGGGGGCACGACGGTCTGGAGCGTGGGGTCTCTTGTGTACGGCGGACCCCGTCCCATAGCCGCGGCCTTCTTCCAGCCAGACTCGCAGCCCTCGGCGATTTGTCGCGCAGATTGCCAGCCTGTGAGACGTGCTACATCGTGCATCCGCCTGACGATCCAGTGACGCTGGGCGTCGTCTCTGTACTGTACACCGTGTTAGCGAGGATGACCTCGGGCGGGTAAAAGGGCGGTGAGGCCACGTGAATGTATTACCTGGATAGCGCCGACAAAGAGACAGAAGGCACTCTCGATGAGCGCCGCCCCGACCAAGGTGCTGATCTCGGTGGCGTTGGAGACGTCGTCCGTCAGCCCCGCCGCGATCCGCCCAATCTCGATGGCAAACTTCTCGGTATGCTGCGCCTGGATGCCCGCGGCAATCATGGCGGCCGGCGGCATCCTGGGGTGTGCGCGGTACAGATGGATCAGGCCCATGTAGTAGTTCATCCAGATGCCGGCCACGGAAAAGGTGCGGTACTGCAGCGTCGGCCCAAAGGGCGAGTCCCTGTGGTCTGCGTACTCGGCGCCCAGGGCCTGGAACTCGGGCCCGAACTGGGATCGGAGGATCTCAAACGCCTCCCTAAGGCCTTCCCACTCACGCATCGCCGCCTCCATGGCAACGTCGGAGTCGAGGTCTTCTGGCATCTCCGGCGGAGGCGGCGAGTCGTCTCTCGGAGGGCTGAAGCCCATGGGCAGTCTCACCTTTTGGAGATTCGGCAGCATGCCCGGGAACATGGGCGGTGACCCGGCCCCAGGAGGCGCTCCCATCTGACCGCCCGGCCCTCCTGGGTGGCCTCTCATGCCCGGCGGCGGATCCCCGGGCGGCCCACCGGGCATACCGGTTGCCATCCCCGGTGGCCCGGACGCATTGGGCGGCCCTCCCCGTCCTGGCGGCGCACCGGGAGGGCCGCCGGTGGGAACCCCTGGACGACCGACCGGGGGGCCACCCGGAGGCCCGAACCCCTTGAACGACTTCTTCTTTCGAGCGAGGTCCTTGGAAGCGAAACTGCACAGGCGACCAAGCAGGAGCATCAAGTGGTCATACGTTCCGTAGCTACCAGAGTCAGCACATGTTCAATGCTATCTGCACCTAGAGGGTGACTTACATGGCCTCCAGTCGACCCATCGGGGCTCGGGGCGGACATTGCGTCCAGTGCTGGTAGTCCATACTGAAAATCCGTCAGCGTTTGGCGTCGTATGCATCCGCGAGAGAAACACTTACAACGGCTTCCCACCACCGAGCATGCTTTGATAGACGTCCATCTTGCAGTACCACCAATACAGATCTCTCAAATGCTCGTAATGTTCGATATCGCGGTCAGTGTAGTAATTGCCGATCGAGGCTGCTGCATCGTCCTCGTACGACACGTGTTGGTTCGTTAATCGACTCAGCAGGCCAAGGTCCAAATCGTCTAGATCATGGTTCATCATGTGCGTGTTGTCGTGGCCCATGTAAAAGGGGTCGAACGGCTGGTTCTGGCTTTCTTGGAACAGCGCACGCCTGGCTCGTTTCAGCGGCAGTATGTTCCTCGTCATCTCCCGAAAAGGTATCTCCTTGATCAGCAGCCTGGCTCCAAACAGGTGATTGCACCACTTGGAGTGGTCCGAATTCCACACTTCAAAGTACCCCAACAGCAGGGTGGCTGCGAGCGTGGCTGGTGACGTCCTCCTCTTTACTGTTCGCACGTTCTTTGCGATCCTGCGAATGGAGAGGTGATAGTGTTTCATGGCCGCCGTCGGCGGGATCTGCTGCAGTTTGGCTATCTGTAAAGCGCCCAGGGCAAGCATTGCTTGGAGGAGTGCCGGGTGGTTGAACGACAGGATGGGGAACGTGTCTGCGGATGGTTAATCGTGTCCAGCCCGGTAGAGGCATGGAATCACTTACAGGTCCACAAGTTATGGCCGGCCTTTGGCACAGAAAAGTTGTTCATCAGTTTCGTGTGGTCAAACGGATGCCTCTCGTACAGGGACATGCTGGGGCCCGTGACATTGATAAAGTGCCAGAACAGGGCTGCCGTCCGCTCGTCGTTGAGCGGTGAGTTGTTCGGGGTCGGGATGTACGACGTGAGAATCGTCTCCTCCGCAAAGGCGGAGAACTTTCTGACCTCGGTGCCGAAGCCGTCCCAGGGACCGTCCGAACGGGCCTGGACCAGTTGTCCGTAGGCGCTCTCCTCACCCATCAAGTCCTCGAAGCCGTCGTCCGAATCGCCCATGGATGCGTCGTCGTCGTCGTTGAAGAAGAACTGGACATCGGGGTCCTCCACCACGTCTTCTCGCCGCAGAGGGTCGTTGGGGTAGTGTCGAATCTCTTCCACCCGTGCATGATTTGAAGGCTGTCCTTGCCATGCTTCCCGGGGTACGTACGCAAACGAGCCGTTGTCGGTATTTGGACTGACAAAGGTGCCCTGGGCTCCGCCGAACGGTCCCTGGAATTGGTCTGGGCTGATGGGCGATGTCAATGAGGGCGTCGGGGGCATTTGCGGGGGTATCTGCGGCGGCCCAAAGGCATACTGGTTGAAGTCGAATGGAGAGGAAGATGGGTGATGACCCGAAGATGGGCCTGGGAAGCCCTGGCCATACTGGTGATGCATCGGCTGGCCGCCATAGTCCATGTTCTGTGGCGGCTTGGGAGCTATTGGTGCCAGGGGAGGCGCATTGGATGACTTCGGCGGCGGGTTGGACAGCTGATGGAAAGGGGGATTTGACGCCTCGGGAGGATAGACCACGGGGCCGTAGACTCCGTTCAGGTTGAATGCGCCGATTGGGTCTTTGAAGATGACTCGCTGGTTGTAACCCTCGCAGTGTCTTTTGGACTTGATGCAGTTGTTGCAGATGGGCCTTCCCTCATCGCACTTGATGCGTCGTTTTCGACATGCTTTTGGTCATGTTAGCAATTCGGTCTAGAGACGAGACATCCCTTCGTGTTGAATCTGGCTGAAGAAGGCGGGCACGTACTCAGGCAACCGGTCTTGGTCCTCTTTCTGACGTTCGCTCTTTTGCGGTTCTGGTCATCGTTGTCATTCTCATCGTTGTTGCCCGAGGCCTTGGTCGGGGACTTGTCGCCGCCGTCGGGCGCCCCATCGGCCGTGTCCATCCTAGTAGATGCTGTCTTGTTGTGAGTGAAGCTCCGTGACCCGACTCAAATCTCCATCCACTGGGTCCTGTCGACAACAGATGGTCTCGTCTAGTTCCCGCAAACTTGCACACACAAGAGATCGTGTGGCTCGCCCAAGGCACAGAGAGTACTACTACTACTCTCAGAGCAGTGCCGTTCGATGTTCGGCGCGTCGGTTACGGTGAAGGAGGGTGGGCAAAAGCTGTGATTTCTGGGCAGGCGTTTAGTCAAGAGGCGGCGTCTTCAACGGGCCACAAGCGTCCAAGAGTGGCAGCAGCGCAGCGAGACAAGGTGGGTTAACTTCCGCCTTTGTGCGCGGGCAACGGGACGGGGTTCGAGGGTGGAAAGATAGAGGAAGCAAGTCGGGCGCCCTGGAGTGAGATGCTTTTTATTAAGCAGCCATAGACGGTGGAAGGAAGTGAAACAAGCCGGTGTGACTTTGTCTACGCCGAATAGGTTGTCATGAACGGGTTGGACAGGACGCATGGACTCGTGGGGTAGGACGGGGGTGTAAGGATGTCTGCAGCAGTTGGAGATGTGTCTCTCACGACACGAGGGACTGGTGACCTTTCCCACTCTGGAATAGAGAAGACGGGGGGAGGGGAAGAAGGGTAGGTAGATTAAGGTAGCTCCAAGGCAGGCAAATGTACTGTAACAGGGTATCAAGCAAGGTGAAGAAAGGCGGCGTGGAGAGGCAGATGCACAAACAACGGAGACAAGGTAGAGCGAGGGAGGTGCCAAGCGGCGAGAAGACTAAGAAGAGGCCGGGCCGGAGGGACCGGGGGGTGGTGACAGGAAGATGTAGGTTGGAAACTTGGGAGATCGGGACGAACCAAACCAGACACGAGAGCCGGCCCAGACGAATGGGAGGACGGGGATGCAGATGATTCAGGTAGGGGTCATTAATCGTGCATGACCGGCAAGGCAGACAAAGCCATGGTCGATGCTGCCGGTGATGGGGACGAGGGTGAGAGACAGCATTGCAGGACAATTGGAGTTGTCTCTGAGAGACTCGGGCTCGAGGGGGGCCAGGGACGTGACAAGTACGAGCAAGACAACAAACACTAACAGCAGAGTGAAAACATGGGACTCTCTAATCACTGCCTACTCACCTTTTGGCTCAAGGTCTTGAATTGGACCGTCCACCGCACGCAGTTGGCTGCCCGGCCCTGGCTATTCTTGGTCCAGTATGGGCATGTATGTAGGAGGTGCGGCAAGACGACGGGAGGGAGAAAACACACATACGGCGTATTGGGGTGGCTTGCGGAAGCAACACGAGTGGGTGTGATACGTGCTGCTGCGTGATAAAGCAGCGCGCTAAGATGGCCCAGTCAATGATTCCCAGGTAGGTTCCATGTCAAAGACGTCTCCCCCAGTCGCCCCGAAATCCATCTCAATGTGTCTGCTGCGTCTGCTGTGTCTGCTCTTCCCCTCCCGCGGGCAGTAATAATGCATACATGCCGCCGTAAGTAGGTAGGTACTATGCAGTACATACAGTGGTTGGTAAGGCTCGTCCAGGGTTCTAGCTCCGTCGTGAGCCTGCCAAGTTTTCGCGCGATGGTGCCGCTGGGCTGCGAGGATTAGGCCGTTTAGGGCCTCGGCTGCCACTGAACTGAGGGGCGGACCGGGGGCCCTTCTTTCAGGGGTCTGTCATGTCCCGAGTGACAGGGCTCAGTGGAATGGCGCACGGCACTAGGACGAGCTGACTGAGTTGAATCATCGTCTCTTCTCCTTCTCGAAAGCAAAAAGCTGCTTCCTGTGGTGTTGTGGTCCCACGGGTCTAGCAGAGCTAAGCCGAGCTACTCATGTACGCATGGTCTGACGAGGAAAGAAACTTTTCTGCGCGTACACTACGCTGTGCTGTGCATCGTGCGGCCTGCATCGTCGTTGTTGCGGTGAAGCAATCCAATCCGGTACCGTCCCGGTAGGGCAACTACTGCAAATTTGATTGAAGCGCGGCGGAGATTGGAGGTTGGGTTAGGCAACCCGCCAAGCTGCAAATCCCAACGGCAACGCTCAACAGACTTTGTCCTCGCATACCCGACAATCTGGCCATGGGTATCTTGAGCTTTCGTGGTGGCATGAACCATCTCGCAGTCGTCGCGCCCTGGGCACCGCCAACGTCGCAGGCAACATGGGGCCCAGAGAGAGAAGCCGAACGCTATTTCATCCGAGGTCTTTGGAGGTCTGGACTCTCCCCGTCCGTCAGGGTCCAGCCTGTTGCGCCTCGTCTGCCCTATGGGGTCAGCAATGACCAAGACGACATCCGGCGAAAAGCGTCGACTAGGTCGACGGCGAAGTCCTACGGGGACGCGGCATCCGTGACTGCCCGTTGCCCGTCGCTCGTCGCTACTATTGAAGATGTATTGAAACCCTCGTGATGTTCAGAATCTTCAGCAGGGCCGGGGGTGTTCGTCATCGATGGGGTATCCAGATCGTCCGTTGGTGGCCATCAAGCCCAAAAGTGAGATATGCGCCGGTGGCGTTCCAAGGTGGGATGCATTTCTGCCACTAGTTTTAGGAAACTTGCCATGTGCCGAGCAAGCGGCATGCTAAGAAAGAACAACCCGACGCCGACGGGGCCTCGAGAAGGCCGTCTGCTAGGTAGAGTGGAGGCTCTCAATGGCTTGACAGCCCTTCCTGCCGCCGTTGGGACAGTATGAGAATTGACGAGACAAGCCTTTCAACCCGTCTCTCTTGCCACGACGTCCCAACTTGGGTGAATGCATTCCAAGTCTGGCAGGCCGATGGACTGATTGAGATGAACGGCGATGTGCCGCTGGGATCTCGCCATCCCCCCCATTCTAGCCACCAAGCATCCGAACATCAGCTTCGGCCAATCGTTGCGTTTCCGACCTCATGGACGGTGTCACCGGCGACTGGCCGCAGTACACAGTCGGCTGGCATACGGTGCAACACAAACGTGCTCGTTGTCGAACAGGAGGAGGCACGCCGATCCCCGCGGACCACCTCCGCCCGCCCTCTTTCCTTCTTGAACAACTGCAACTGGTCACAATCGGTTCCCGCCCATCATCGATCGCCTTGTGCCTTCTCGTCCTCCTCGACGCGCAGGGTCGGTCACCTTGGCAGCTTTTCCCGGATCTTTACTGTATCTGATCTGAGCAGAGGTCGATACTGGCTGCCGCCACAGGCTAAGTATGCAGGTAGCCTTCCCGCATGCCAGTAGTTGAGTCGGGGCAGGGAGCTCTCTCCTCTTTCGAGAGAGCAATGAGTGCCGTGACGTTGAAGACTGGCCGTCGAGGACGATCCTGAAATAGCCAGATGCGAATCGTGGCAATGAAGCAAGCCGGGCTGCCAAACAAAGGCATCTGGCACATTGCGGCACAGAGACTGTACTGCGCCTTGTGCCACGGTGCCGGTTGCCCTATTTCTGTCTCTTTGGTGAGCGTTTCCAGCCTCAAGGTTCTCTGAACTGTCTCGTCTCTTTGATGTCTTGTCTTGGCTCCCGAGACCAACGGCTCTGGAAGGCCGTTCATCCCCGAATGCTGCCGCCCGTGTTGGTTTGTTGCCATTCCCCAGGTCCCTGTCTCTGTGCCCACGCTATCAACGCCAAACATAGCGGTACTCCATAAGGCCGGTTAATGCGCCGTGCCCGTTTTTCGGACCACAAGTCGGAGTCTTTTGAGAATTGAACCGACTGTCCGCCGAACAACCCACCGGTGGGTCGCTGTCGCCGTCCAAACTTTGCAGAATCTTCTGGTCTCCGGTGAGAATGCGCAGGCGGTTACAACGGGGCCGCATGCCTGGCGGCATCCGAGGGAGCAATGTTTCGGTGGTTAAACCAGGGGAACCATCATCACAGGCTGGAGACTAGCTGCCTGGAGAGCTATCAACGGCCCTAACTTTAATAGACTGGCGGCTACCCAAAGGACGGAGGACAAGCCATCCGTCCCCGGCCTGCTGTCATGGGCTTAGGGCAGCCAGCAACCTGTTTGACAGGAGACCTTCCCCTTCTGAGCTGGCTTAACAGACGCCATGGCAAAGTTGCCTGTGTCGGACGTTTGTTCGGCTCAAGGCAGCCGTAGGTAACGAGGCTCGGACTCGTGGGGCCCAGGTTGCGGCTCCCCGTTCTGAGTGGCTTCTCGGGGTCGCTCCCGCACGCGTCTGGATGTTTCCGTCTGGTCCTTCGCATGCGGGAGAATTCTGGAGATTGCAGAGGTAATCATGGCTTCCCCATTGGGCGAACTATTTGTCTTTTTGATGGGACAACAATCCCTTTGCTATTACTGGCGTCGTTGCAAGCTGGAAAAGTAAGCTGAAACGTCGTGATCCCAGGACCCGATGCAGGGCCGAAAGATCAGGACCAATCCGATGAGCCACCGTGCAGATCTCGGAAGACCTGGCAGGGTGGTTGTGGTGAGTCGGCCTGGCTTCCCAGTAGCGCGTTCCTCCAGTTTCTGGCGGAAGGGAGCGGGCGGACGGGCGGAAGTCGACTGGAGGCCATGTCAGGGTCCAGAGAATGCACTTGGCCTTGTCCAACTCGAGCATGTCAGTAGGTGCAAAGGGGCATTCCCACCAGGGTGACGGGTGGCAGCGTTCATGATGCCAAGACGATCTGGGGTATTGAAGGATGTCGCAGGTCTTGCCGCCGTTGGTGCTAAACAGATGATTTGCATCTCACTGGCGCAAAGCTGTTTTCATGGAAGTGGCGCCAACGTTGGGTAGATGCACATCTTCATAGCGGCGCTGACAGGCTCGCGCATCGTTCCACAGAAAACGCATCTTATGAGGAAACCAAATGGGTGGGTTTAGTGCTAAGTTTTGAAAGGCAAATCCGAACAGAAGTCGGCCCAAAGATGGAAAAGTGGTGATGGGGAAGTTGGCTTACAGTTAGACGATGCAACTGCGTGCCAAAAGCTCGGCGGTGTGCACGGTCCACCCACCTTGCTCCTCCCATCCTGGCGCCGATCAGCGTCCAGGGGTGCGATAACGATGGGAAGGAAAAAAAAACTAAAAAC